GTCGCGCCACGTGTCCCATGTGCAGTTGCTTCCCTGATGCTTCCCCACGCCAGCAAGCGCGCTTTGCGCGCACGATCCCCCTCTCCGCGCGACTTCCTCTCCCGCGCGCGTCAAGGCTTCCTCCGCGTGGGCCCAGCCAGTACAGCACGTCTTCCCGCGCGCGAATCCGCTTGCGCCACGTGTCTCACCTCGTCAGCCCTCCTGCAACACATTTTTACATTTTTTTAACATATCCAAAACTCTATAAATAAGATCATTATCAAGGTGATTAGGGAGTTGATTAATTTTTAGAATCTAAATTCTCACACATTTTCTCTTATTTTCTTGTTCTTATTCTCATACTTTCTTTTTAGAATTTTATGAGAATTATGTGCAAGCTAGGGAGTATTTAGTTGTCAACTTTCATATAAATCTAGTCAAGCTCTTTTTATATGATTGTTGCATTATATTATATATTGATAGGTATTATTTTATGAGTAGTCTTTTACTGCAGTATTGCCAACGGTATATTGTCGCTCTTAGATTTCTCATAAGATAATTTTTCCTAATTCTAAACGTTAGAATTTTATTTACTCGAATACATTTTTAATTCATATGTTCTTCAAATATTTATTTTCCGATTGATTGTTTGGGATGTGAAACTTTCAATTGAGTCAATTTATGAATCAAAATCTAAATAGGTGAACAAAGCATATGGAGGATTCTCAAAGCCTTACCACTTTTAACTATTGAATTTTCTCTATTTTAAACTGTTCAAAAAATCATCAAAAACACTCATTCTTTTTCTTTGTTTGATTGCTTACTTTCCTAACGCTTTTTATTTGCTAATCTTTTCTTGTTCAATTTAACACTTCCTCGTGGGATCGACCGTTCAAATTGTACTACAATTGACCGTTTGTTTTTGTACACGTTTGGGCGTAATCACCACCTATCACCAAAATTAAATTACATAATGAGGAAAATAATTATTTTGGAAGGAAACTAAATAAAAATAAAATAAAATAAAATAAAAATATCTAAAACAAACTAAAAATAAAATTAATTCCAAATAAAATAAAATGATATAAAAATAAGGTAAAAGTATTAAAAACTAAATAAATTCTCAAGAACAAGCATACTTTTTAATCCACAAAAGAGGCTAAATAACTCCATTTCATGGAGTTATCAAATATATTTTCACAAAATCCAATCTCAATATGATCCCATCCATTTTTTGATTTTTCACTTTTAGCTTATAGATTTTTCAAAATTTTTTCATATATGCCCTTCTATTAATAAAAATTTCAAATATATTTTCACAAAATCCAATCTCAATATGCTCCCCTCCATTTTTGATTTTTCACTTTTAGCTTATAGTTTTTTCAAAATTTTTTCATATATGCCCCTCTATTAACAAAAATTTCAAATATATTTTCACAAAATCCAATCTCAATTATTAGTTTTTCGTTGTTGCTTTTTTTTTTCTTGGTGTTCTTTTGGTATTTTCCTATTAAATCTTATGAATTCAAATGTACCAAAGTGATATTTTTTCTATTTTACTCTTATGAAAACTTTTTTCTTTCAAAATGGTCCCTTTTAAAAAATAAATTTCATATAATCTTTATTATATCAAAAGTGAGCCTTATAGAAAAAAGTTTTAAATGACCCACTAAAATGATATTTCTCAAATGTGTCCCTAATATAGGTTTTTTTTTTTTTTTTTAAATAACCTTCTCAATTATTATTTTCTCATAAACATATTTTCTCTAATTTGACCTTGTTGAAGTTTTTTATGTTCATGCATACTTAAACATCTTTTTTTTTTCTTGTGTCACTCTCAACTAGTATTTTTTAATACGTATTATGTACCCCTTAAATAAATTTTTTATCTAATTTACTTGCTAAAATCTTTATTGTTCAAATATATTTTACTTGTCTATGCATATATACTATTCATCCAAACACATAATTTGTTTGAAACATGCATTTTAGTCCATTTTACTCAAATATAATTTTTTTATTAAACTAACTCTTAAGAGAGTAATAAATTCAAATTAAAAAAAAATAAACTCTTCAAAATTTGAATTCACACATCAAGAAGTTTAATAAACTTATCAAATGCACGCGCATAACAAGTTTCCAACTAGTTAATAGTATGTCAAAATAAAAGAAAAAAATAGACCGATTAAAAGTATTAGGAGTTGAATTTATTACACTTTTATCATTTTTAACATTTTTAGTTTATGCTTCCTAACTAACGGTAGTCTCTTATTTTTCAGCCGTCAGATCTGTATCAGAATCTCTCTAGTTTGTATACGTTTTTAATGTGATGTGATTTTGACCAGATCTAATAGTCAAAAATTGAGACTACCGATAGAGAGAACTACCACAAAACTCCTGCAAAAAAAATTAACGTACACACTTTCCTTCTTTAAAAAAAAAATGAATAAAAGGTTATTTATCGAACAAGCTCATTGAACAACATGTGACAATAGTGCCTACCATCCCAAGTGAAACATAACCAGTAAAGTTTGCAATTTTGGCCCTGCTTGTTTTGTTTGTTTGATTTACAATTTAAGTTTTTGTTATAGTGTTTTCTCTAATAAAATTTTGAATTTAACTTTTTCTACTACAATATTTTTTATCACATTAATTTACTTTTTAATTCAAATTTCTCAACTTGAACAAGCGAAACGAATGAATTAGCCCACCTAGCTAAAGAAACATACTTTCCTTCTTTGGCTGCGGATATATGTTCTCATGGAACATGAGCAACAGTAGTGTTTGGTGGAAGAGTAAATTATTGAATCTTTAATTAATGTCAATTAAAGGAGTTATGCCTATGTCTTTTTATATATATGCTAGTTAAAAACACTCTTTTGCTTGACTCATTTAAAACAATAATTATACAAATTATTGAGGAAAAAAAGGCAGAAAGAAAAATGGATAAAAGAAATAGACAAAAATAAGGGGAAAAAGATCTAAAATAAATGACCGGAAAAAAAAGACAAAAAACAAAAAACTTTAAAGAAAAATTTGTGTGAAATATTTCGCACACTTTATTAGAGTGTGAAATGTTCCGCAACTAAAATTAAAATTTATAAGAATTACAGACAAAAAATGTTTATATAGGCACACAATTTGATAATAAATTTATTTAGCAATGTAATTAAAAAATAATATTTTAAATAACTATAAAAAAGTATTTAAAAGATTAAAATATGCAATAAGAAAAATATAAAGGAGGAAAAAGAAGGGAAACAAAAGAAAAAATTTAAAAAGGCCTAAAAAAGAAAAGAAAAAAAAGAAACATAAAAAAAGGGGAACGTTTCATCACCCAAACCCTCCTCAAAACGCATTCTCAGTAGATATAAATATATGGATGAGTTTTTAATAGTTATGAATCCATAGTGGTTATCTAATAAATATAAAAATTCGATGATTTGGCATGATAACAATCCAATTTGATTAATTGCCATAAATTTTTTAGTCAACTACTTAATTTATTATACTCGTCAAATTAATATCTCACGGTTAAAACAACAATACCTAGTGGCGGAGTCAGGGTTTTGATTCAGGAGGCATAAACTAAGCACGTGAAAAATGCTAATAAAATCAACTCCTAATATTTTTGGATGAATAGTATCTATGTATAAATTATTGAATATATTTGAGTAAAAAAGACTTTAGTAAGTAAATGAGATGGAAACAATTATTAAGGAGGTACATAATACGTATGAGAAACTAGTAGTTGTGAGTGCCAAAAGGAAAAAAATCTTTTGAGTATTAGGGCACATTTGAGAAAAGATATTTTAATGGGTCATTTTTAATATAGTTTAAATTATAAAAGGACCAATTCGAATGAAAAACTATTTTCATAAAATTAAATTAGAGAAAAAAGTTCAATTAGATAATATAAAATTTAATAGGAAAAGATCAAAAAAATAATAGAAAAAAAATTGAGATTGAATTTGCAGGGATATATTTAAAATTTTTATTGATAAAGAGGCACATACGAAAACGTTTTGAGAAAACATATGCTAAAATTAAATATAAAAAATTTAAGGGGGCATATTGTCACGCTCTTACTCTTCAAGTAAGCAAACGTGCGGCCTTAGCACTCACTTAAATGCTAAGAAAGCCTAATTTACTCAAACTCACGAAGGCAGGCAAAGAGTAGACAAGTAAAGTTGTATTATTAGAAGAGAACTTTACAAGGCTATTTTGGAACTTAGTCCACAAATGAGGAGGTTCCCCTTATTTATAGGCCAAGGGGACCCTTCTATGAACATTCTAGAATTCTATAGACCACTATCTAGTCTAGAACTCTCTAAAGAATTATACACAAGGTGGACATATCTACAAGTTTCTAGAGTATTCCACAAATAACTACTCTATTAAGAATCATCCACAAGGGTCTAGAGAACTCCAAAGTTCTCCTAAAGTCTATACTTCTCTAAAATTATCTAGAATATTCCATATGGTAAACAATAGTAGAACATTTTAGAGAATCTTAGAGTCTTCTTGCAACCCTTTTAACACTTAAAATGGGACAAGAATTTGCGGATTGTGACAATATGCTCCTCCGGCCCTTACCTTCCTCCGCAACTTATTGATTAATAAATATTAATCATTAAAACCACTCATGTATAGATATGGGCGATGGGCCAAATAATTATTGGGCTAATGGGCCTCTACCACAAAGCCCATACGAGGCCCATTACTTCATCTTCAAGCTCGAATCTGCAAAACGAAAAGCACAGTAACTACTGAAGTCTCGGAGATTTCAGAGCTGCTCTCCTCTTCTCTTATATTTGGCAGCTAAGAAAAGGCCATGTCTAAGGAAACTTACGCCTCACGAAACCCCACTGAGGTCCACACTGACGTCCTCTCCGAAGCCAGACAAGCTTGCTATAAGGTCTTTCTTTTTCCTTGATTTCTACTCTCTTCTTTATTTCCATTGTCATGGCCTTTTTCAAATACTCTTCGATGAATTAAATCTGGATTTTTTTCTTGAATTTTGCAATTTGAATTTTTTTTCCCTTCCCTTAAGGCTCGCGATGCTTTCTACGCTTGTTTGGAGAAGGAATCGGTCAAGAAACCCACCGAAATCACGCCGGTGGGGCTCTTATACCCATCGGAATGCAATGCTTCGAGGGCTGAATATGTTAAACTTTGCCGTTCCTCTTGGGTAAAATTGAATCCCATTCTTGATTTTCTTATTTGGGTTTTAATTCTTTTGCTCTGAATTTTTTTTTGGGTGCTCTTGATTTGCTTATTTGGGTTTTGATTATTTTACTCTGAAACGTTTATGGTTTTGGGTTATTGTTTTTTTTCTTTTTTTTGGGTGCTATTGATTTGCTAATTTGGTTTTGAATTCTTTTTGTCTGAAATGTTTGTGGTTTTGGCTTATGGGATTTTGTTGTTGTAATTGGTAGGTGAACCATTTCGATAGACAGTACTGTAGGAACATAAGGGTTCAGAGGCTTCTGGATGATAGAGACACGAGAAGAGGTCCGTTGGTTCTTCCACAGCCTTATACTTTCAAGCCCACCAATACTTGATCTGTTTTCATTCGACTATTCAAATTTCTGGGTCAGCTTGGAAATTGAATAACACTTTTTCTTAAAACTTTTTTTTGAAGTTCTTTTGATGAACTTGAAGTTGTGCATTGATTACCATATAGTAGTAGTTGATACAACATTTATATACACAAACACACTAAAAGAATAATAGGGATTTTCTTTTTTCGGTTTCTAATTGTTGGTTTCATGGTTGCAAGGTTTTGGTTGCCTCTATGAAATATGCATTCACTGATTCCTGCAGCATCTAGCTAGGTCTTCGTTGAATTAGCTTAGTTATTTAACAATGTTTGCAATATGAAGCTTAAAAAGAAACACGCATTTTTCTTGGTAGTAGGAGTGAGGCATTTGGTGCAAGAACTTGTTTTTGGAGTATTTGACTTGAATGTTACTTGTCTCATTACTTTTGAAGTTCTTTGTTCATGAACTTGATATTGTACATTGACGACCGTTGACGGTAAAAATTAGTCAACAAATTAATAACAAGTTTTTTTGATTTGTGCACGGATTAAATGACTCTAAACGTGAATAAGAAGAACTTAAATAAGATCAACACAGAGGATTTATAGTGGTTTACTCCAATATAGAGCTACGTCCATTGAGAGAGTTTCTTACTATTCTAGGCAGAAATTACAAGTTTTGGGGAGAGAGGTGTTCATGAATTCGAACCCCTCTCAAGCCATTCTCCCTGCATATATACATCATGTCATTTCTGTCAATTATCAATTATTTAATTAAATCTCGTGATATCTTCAACATATTCCGGAACAGTAGTCTCTGATCACCGAGATTTCAGCCAGTCTGCCTGACTTTCTCCATCGGCTTCACCACCTACTCTGTATGCATTTAATGCACGTCAAATCTTGGCACAGTTGTACTTCAATCTGGACATGGGTGGTTTCGTCGCCTTAAGCTCTTTGGAAGCGATCTTCGTTCATGGCCAGTGAAGCATTCGTCTCCATGGCGTGACCTTTGTTTCCTCTAGTTGACCCCTTCAGCGGGGTTGTTTGATCGTTAAGGGTCGATGTCCATGAAGTGCGCTCTACTGTCACTCTGTACCGTTATGTCTCGATTAACGTGGTGTCCAACCATTGTCTCGTGTGGAGTTTAAGGTTTTACCCCACAACATTTGCCCCCAGGTCGAGGCCACCTCTCAGGTTGCGTTGACCTTCACAGGCAATCCATGTTTGAAGCCTTTGCATGGTTGATGACCTGTCAAAGGTGGTGCCAGTTGGCACCCCTAGGCAATAATGACTAACATTAAGGCGGCTTCTTGGGAAGGCTAACAGTCACGTCGATTCAACTTATCATTTCACTGACGTTTCCCATTTTGAATATGGAATTTTGAACTGTCAGATTGCGTCTCTCTAGTTTCCCGCCCTTGTTTCTACAATTCGATCTCGATTGTTTGCCTCTGTCATTGGATTCACTAGGATTCCATCTAATGGTCAGGAGTCGAGAGTTTGTTCCCCTTTATAAGGCTGTTTCAAACCAAAGCCATTTCCATCTAAATTTCTGAAAGCCGCCGTGTCTCTGCCCAGATTTTTCCAAAACCCTCAATTCGATTTCTTTCTTTTTCTTCGGTGTTTCGCGAGGTCCTCTCCAGTCAAGCTTTAGATTTCGTCATCTTTCAAGTCTCAGGTAAGTCTCCTCATTGTAATCTCGTTTCTGTGTAGTTCTTTCTCTGTGTATTTTTGGCTTTCCTTGCTTGGTTCCTGTTGGATTATTGCATGATTTAGGCTTGAAATAGACACTTAGGAAGTTAAAAACCTACTTCATGTATATCTAGACTCTCATAGGCTAGTTTTCTCGGTTATGGGCCGACTGTAGAGAGTTTTAGGTTCTGGATTTGGGGTGTTTGGCTGTGAAATCTAGGTTCAGTATGAACGTTCGTCGTTCATTTTCTTGTGAATGATCGACGGCTTGATGAGCCGTCGGCGCTCGCATGCCTTTGGTAGCAACTAGTGGTCTTAAACGATCGTCATCTTCTTGTTTCCCTTTACCCTCTCGACTTAGGATTTTAACTTAGCTCCTCATTTTTCTTCTCTTTTATGTTATACCAGAACAATGGCTCCCAAACCATCTAGTCGTCGAGAGGGTCCTTCTTCATCTACTGTGAGGCCGGACTCTCCTTCCACTGCTGAACGTTCGTGGACCTCTTCCTCATCGGGTGACAACTCCATCTTAAGGGAGGTTGCTGACTATGTGGCCAATCCAAGGGACGATGCTGACAGTGTCGACATGGTCGAAGGTGATGACAATGGGGAGGTTCCTTTGGAAGGGGGAACGTTGCATGGGGTCGTCGCCTCCCTCATCGCTGCTCCTTTGGCCGTCATGAGCGGGGACCCGGACATGCCTTCATTTACTGCAGATGTGACAGCACCGAAGACACAGAACTGAGACATCGTTCGGGCGTTCAGAGACGGGTGCATAGACGGGAGATAGTTTGAGTACCTTCTCCCGAACGAGAACTTTAGGTCTAGCCTTCCCCTTCCTGGGTATCTTTTAGTATATACTTGGGCCTTTACCGCAAGGATGACATTACCAGTCCATCCATTTGTGAAGGATTTTTGCCACTACCATGGCATCTCTCATGCCCAGCTAGCGTCGAACTTTTGGTACTGCTTCGCCGGTGCATGGGTCCTATGGATCCAGCAGTTTGATGTGGAGCTGCCCCTGGACGAGTTTATGTATATATACAAGTTAAGCCACGTCACAAAGTGCGAAAGGTGTTTTTTTTGGGTAGTCACGGGTGATTGAAGCCCTTTTTAGGAAAACTAATCCAGAGCATTTCTTCTTTTTCCCATGGCTGGAAGCCCATGTTTTTCATGGTCAGGGGACCCTTTAATTTTCATCCCGACGACTGTATGCCACAACGCCGGAGAGTGTCAACGTCGTTTGGGAGATTAAGTGAGAACTATATGTTATAGTAAAAATTTTTCTTCTCCTCTCTCTTCCTTTTTTATAACGTTGAATATTACCTCAATGTGCAGTCTCTCACGACCGGCCGAAGCTAATTGGGAATAGGAGGGCGAGGGTTCTTGCAACCTTTGAAATTCTCGAGAACGAATGCCATATTAATGTTCTCTTAACCGAAGCCAACCTTAGGGAGTCAGGGCTGCTGATTTCCCTTCCTGATCTTGCAAATCTCCAAGCCGTCTAAAAATTTTTTCACCTCAACGCAGCAGGTAAATCTTTTGGACTCGACCTCCTTTTCGCTATAATGCCAGGTCGACCCCTTTTTTCCCCTTTTTTTTTTTTTTGCTAACTTTTTTTGTTTGTGTACAGAAATGACTTCTTTAAACCTCCAGCTCCCTTCTAGCGGCCGATCCAAGTCGAAGGGGAAGGCCAGCGTTGGTACTTCCTCTTTGGCCCCGAGAGGCCTTCTGAGGGGGTCTCTGGTTCCACGTCGAGGACATTAGCGTAGAAGAGGGTCTGCCAGGAGGAGGTGCGGGTGATCGGGGAACTTGGACGCCGGTGGTTCCCATATCCCCGACATGTTTGAGGTTCCTCCTCCCCCCCAAGGATCGCCTCCTTCCGGCGGTGAAGATTATGGACCCAAACTTCCAGGTCTAGGATGTCTCTATCGTCTAGGTTGACGCGATGCTGGATCTCCCTCGTCGCTTTTCTTTAGTCTTTCAGGCTCTTTACGAGTCATTTTTTGACAAGCATTAGGTCGCCACCACCCGATCATCTTTGATCGACCGTCAGTGCAAGCAAATATATTTTCAGATCCACATAAGCGTCGACCATTTATTTTCTATCTAATGTATGTTCGTCATTCATTTTTAACTTCTGATCTTCTATTTTCAGGGTCTTGTCCTCGCCGTCCTCAACCTTATAGACTTGGTCAAGGTTGAGGAACGTGGTAATGAGATTGACCGCATTGAGGTGAGCCTCACATCTTTCATCGACGTTGAAAAGTTCAAGTGTTCGACTCTCACCGAGGAGAAGGACGTGGCCATGACAAAATTGGCGAGCCTCCAGGAGGAACTGGACCGGTTAAAGGTTCAGGCCGAAGAGGCTACCAAACGCGCGGAGGGTATCGAGAAACAGGTGGCCGAGGCCAAGGAAAAGTATCTCGCCGAGAGGAAGATCGAAGGCTACGAGAGGGGGAAGAGAGTAGCCGAGCTCGCGGCGGTTGAGAATACCTGAAACTCAGAAGAATTCGCCGCCAAGCGCGAAGAAATAGTCGATGAGTTCATGCTTTCTGAGGAGCTTACTAAAATCCAAACCAATGATCTTCAGTCTGCCGGGGCACAAATAATGGAGCAGATCAAACAGCATCACCCCCTGAGTGGGACTTGAGCTTCCTGTATGCTCCTCCTCCTCCTGTTGACGGCGATGGTTCTTCTCAGCTTGGCAACGGAGATGGTTTAGCTGGTGGCGGCGAGGATTGAGAGCCTTCTCCTTGTATATATTTGTGTTTTTGTTTTTGTTTTTTTTTTGAGACAATGGGTTCTTAGCCCACCAGTTTGTATATTTTTCATTATTAATATAATGCAAACCTATTTCCCTTATGTTGAGATCTTCCTTCTGTCTTTAGTGCCTCTTAGGGCTTGTGTTTTAGCAGATTCCTTAAAATTTGCCAAGTAATTGCCTTTTCTCCTTGGAGATGTCGGTGTTTTAAATACCCCTTAAGGCTAACGCTTTAGCAGATTTCTTAAAATCTGTCAAGCGACCGCCTCTTCTCCTTAGAGAAGTCGACGTTTTAAATGCCCCTTAGGGTTAACACTTTGGTAGATTCCTTAAAATCTATCAAGTGATTGCCTCTTCTCCTAGAAGAGGTTGATGTTTAACATTTTTTTTGTGGTCCGTAGACCCTTCCTGGCCCCCGTGTCTGGCTGAAAACCTTAATTTTTGGGCAGACATGTTATCAAGGGGTCGATCTCTTCGTGGTCTTTTTAAACACAAGTAACTCTGTTATGAATAAGCTTTAACGCTTCATTCATCCTATCAAAATGCCAAAGCAATACAGCTAAAATGCGTAAGAGTTGTCATACATTATTGGTAGTACAATTTTAGTTGCTCTGCATTCCATGGATGTTGAATCTTCTTGCCGGCGAGGCTTTCCAAAATGTAAGTTCCTGGGCGTAGCATTTCTCTTATGCTATAGGGTCCCTCTCATGTTGGGCCTAGAGGGCCAGTATTTTTAGGTTTAGTGTTTTGAGTGACCCTTTTCAATACCAAGTCTCTCGAGATGAACTTTCTTTATTTGACCTTCTTGTTGTAGTATCGGGTTGTCCTTTGTTGGTAAGCGGCGAGTCGTATTGGGAGTCGAGCCATTTTTCTTCCAACAGATCAAGTTTCCCCATTCATTGCTTCGACGTTTGCGTCGTCCTCATAGGCAACCGTCCTTAATGTCAGCGTCTCAATTTTCATGGTGAGCACTGCCTCGACTCCATATGTCATAGAGAAATGTGTTTTGCCTGTTGTAGCTCGACTAATCGTTCTATGCCCATAAGACCTTTGGGAGTTCTTCAGCCTATTTTCCCTTCAAGTCATCAAGCTTTTTCTTCAGGGTGTATGTTTGACCCATATTGAAAAACGTTTACTCTAGGAGAGGTAAGAGTGACAAAAAGACTAGAGTTGATGGCCAAGGAGTAATTTCAGAAAGTGGCTAGACAGGTGACGTGGCAAAGGCAAGTAGGAATCATGGTATTTGGGGGTAGGAAAGGGTTAAGGCAGGGGTGTCGAATTCCCTTGGTTGTCTCTGTATTGTTTCCACCGTCGGTGGCTGGGAGTTCCCGAGTACTCGAAATCTTCGGGTTTATCTTGTTGGATTGTCTACTGTAATCGTTGTTTGCCGGTTGAATTTAATAAAAGCTACCATGATTCCTTTCAATCTCTTCTCGCTGTGCATTTGTGTGTGTGAGTGTTGTGTGTTTGGCTGTGATTAACCAGGTTCCTTACAAACTGGTATCAGAGCTGTACGATCCATGACGCCCAAACCGGCAGAGACGGAGAGGCTGGTTGCCGCAGAGAAGGGGCTGACGGCGGTGCAGGAAGTGGTGCAGTCCCTGACGTCTAAGCAAATCCCGCAGATCTGGGAGGAAATCGGTGGGTTGAAGGAGGAGATGAGAAATCAGATCGGTGGGGTCCATGAGGTATTGCGCCGGCTGGAAGATCTCATGGGTCGCCGGCCAGCTCAGCCGGAGAACGCGCTGGAGCAAGGGGAAGTGGTCCCGCGTGACCGAAATGGCCCGAATCCAGGCGATCTGTGACGCGGAGGTCCGATTGTCGCCGACCCAGTTGCAGACGAGGTCGTGCCGCCACGGGATGGAGGTCCGGAGGTTGGACGATGGTTGCGCAAGGCGACGGGGGTGGTTAGACGCGGCCTGGACGAGAGAGGAAGGAGGCGCGGTCCTGTTTGGCCGCCGGATCTGGGTTGGGAGCACCATGTCGACCCAGTCAGGGAACCTCCGAGAGAAAGGGGTGGACGCCTAGACCGGGAACCCAACCTCGATCGAGGACCCATGGGGGCACGATGGGGTAACCAACTCGACCTTGGAGTAGCGAGGAATGGCAGTAGAGTTGGCGGGGTTCCTGGCCGCCGAGTTGGGAAAGTTTAGGAGGAGAACGAGGATGAACCTAGGTGGGCCAGGGTAGGACACTCATGGGATTTGGAATGGGGACAGCGGCTTTAGAGGCCGGAAGGTCGGGGAAGAGGGGAAAAGGAGAGTGGAGATGCCGAGCTTTTCCGGTGAGGACCCTTATGGGTGGCTGTTCCGAGCTGAGCAATATTTTGATGTGTATGACGTGCGGGAACGGGATAAGGTGGCGGTGGCTTCCATGTGTATGGAAGGGCGAGCTTTGAACTGGTTTAGATGGACTGATTCTCAAGATCCGTTCGGCGAATGGTGGGACTTGAAGGCAACGATTTTGAAGAGCTTAAATATGATCAACATAGAGGATTTATAGTGGTTCACTCCAATATAGAGCTACGTCCACTAAGAGAGTTTTTTACTATTCTGGGTAGAAATTACAAGTTCTGGGGAGAGAGGTGTTCATGAATCCAAACCCCCCTCAGGCCATTCTCCCTGCATATATACATCATGTCATTTCTGCCAATTATCGATTATTTAATTAAATCCCGTGATATCTTCACCATACTCCGGAACAGTAGTTTCTGATCACCGAGATTTCATCCAGCCTGTCTGACTTTCTCCTCCGGCTTCACCACCTACTATGTATGCATTTAATGCACGTCAAATCTTGGCACAGTTGTACTTCAGTCTGGACGTGGATGGGTTCGTTGCTTTTAGCTCTTCGGAAGTGATCTTCGTTCATGGCCATTGAAGCATTCGTCTCTGTGACGTGACCTTTGTTCCCTCTAGTCGACCCCTTCAGTGTGGTTGTTTGATCGTTAAGGGTCGACGTCCGTGAAGTGTGCTCTACTGTCACTCCATACCTTTATGTCTCGATTATTTTATGTTTTAATCGCGCCATGTGGCGCCTAGCCATTGCCTCGTGTGGGGTTTAAGGTTTTACCCCACAACAATGACTATATAGAAGTTGCTGACGCTGAAAGATAGAAGAACGGCTAAAGATATGTATGTGCACACGCTAAAACACGGGAGTATACATTTTTGGTTTCTGATTCTTAGATTCAGATTGAATTATCCAACTAATCCTAATTAGAGTTGGTAAAATAATGTCTAAAAAACTGCGTACCCGTAATGCTAAGTCGGAGGTGCCTTCGCTGTAAATAATAGGAGTAATTATGTGTTCTTGGCGCGTTTGGATTGCTTGGCTCATGAGGTCGGGTTTGTTTGTTTTGGCAGGGGTATGAGGCTCCACTAGGCCCCTGAGGAAGGTGGAAGCAGATCATCTCGATTAGTTAGTGGTTTAATGAGATGTTGCATACCCTAGTCTGATTGAATGGTCCTAAGACTTGCTGCAACATTCCTGCATTTGAAAGCTGTCAAATTTCCTTGGTGTTCATTCATGTAATGTTGTGTTATGATCTAGACTAACCCAAAAAAGATGGTGCATCTGAGTTTGACTTTGACACGATGTAATGCATGAAAAATCAATTTTCTGTTACTTTGATATTTAGTATGCTTCCTAAAATTAGTCTCTTGAAAAAAAAGGGCTTCTTACAGTTATAATGTCCATCTTCATGTGTTTTGATAGGCCAAAACTTGACTAGCAATTGCAAAAGTTGGAAGTACACGTTGATATTCTAATCGCATTTAGCTGTGGAGCTTACTCTGAAGTTTTTCGTGTCCCTTCTCTCTCCCCGAAAATGCATCATTTATTAACACTCCAAAGGTAAAAGGGATGCCACAACGGGGGCAACCTCCCGATCAGAAAAACTAACAGACATGCCTGAGAATAAAGCTGATGCAGGACCGGTAGAATAGAAGAATAGAGATGGAATTTAGAGAGAGAACAAAACCAATAAGGAGAGAGAAGAATAATCCAGAGAGAAATAGAAATTCAAGAAGAACAAGAACTCAAAAAGAAGAAACCAATAATCTCAATATCATTAATCATCAAAAGTCTGAATAAAAATAATAATCACTAATCTCTTTATAGAGAATAAAATCTTAATCCCGTCCCAAAAAGGAGATAAATATAAATAAATTTAAAATAATAAAAGATAAATATAATCCTAAATTGAATTTAAATATTAAAATAATCAAAAATTAATTCGTCATCATTTTCATCGGGTCGAAGAAATTCTACTCCGGCAAGTTTTAAATTGGAAAGAATTACGAAGTAACAAAAAAATTTCTCGGCCTTAATATTGGATTCTGAAACGAGCCATCGATACTTGCAAGTTGATTTTGGAGACATTCTAACTGTAGAGAAAACATTAAGAGCACTGGAGGCTTTTGATCACCATGGTTAGAAAAATAATTCTACCTTATTGAAAATTAATTCCATAATCAAATTAGAACAAGATTTAAATAAACATGCATAAGATCCACTTTCAACAACGAATTGGGAGGAAGAGGATTCAATCGTTTTTAGAGGAGGTGGCTTATCAACAATAGGCTTGGGACAAGGAGTGTCAATAAATATATTTCTGTCACAACCTTGTTAGTTGCATCAATACTCTTAATAGATGGGTTTGGCTCATTAGAAACTGGGGAATGGATAATAGGCTTAGAAACATAGGCTTTTTCTTTTAGTTTAGCAGGTTTTAAAATCAAAGTTTTCCTATTATGTCGAAAAACATATTGATTCCCTTCAGCATTCGCACATCATGATCATCAACCTGAGGAAGTCCTAATAAAATATTAGTAACATCCATAGAAAGGACATCACAATAAACATATTGCTCATAAAGACCAAATTTAAGAGGTAATAGATATCTTTGGGTGATTGCAAAATAACTTTTATCTTCCCAATATACCCAAAACGGTTTAGGGTGAGGCTCAGTTTGAAGATTCAAACTGTTAACAAATTTAGTTGACACAACATTAATCTCACTACTCTCATCAACAACAAGTTTGCAATGTATATCATTGACTGAGATATAAGTGTGAAAATAAGCAGTGTAATTTATAACTCGCACATAATCTTCCGTTTGTTGATAGTAATCTTCAAGTGTACAGGTGAATTGTCCATTATAATAAGAGTCCTAGTAGCGGTAATATGGTTGAAAATTCATGATTTTTTTTTTTTTTTTTGTTTAAATGAATCTAATACACATAATTAAATTACCAACTAATAAAATTATAGAAAAAATTTTCAAATGGTAAGAATTTACCTTAACCAAGAAATAAATACCCGTGGCAGAAGGCAAAAGTACAAAGTCTTCAGCATATGCTTTCGTCTGCAACTTATGGGTCGGCAAACTCTTTTCAATAAGCCCAATAGCAATAACACCCCACCACACAATCCTGGTTCAGAGATTCGGCAAAGCAAAACGTTGCAGCTATGGAGGGTGGCTACCACCGGATTTATTTATTATTAGTTTTTTTTGTAGGTTTATGTAAAAAAAAAAAAAAAAAAAAGGATAATTTTTGGTAAAAGGAAACGACTTCACTCTGATACCAATTGATGCAAGACCGGGTAGAATAGAGGAATAAAGATATAATTTAAAGAGAGAACAGAACCAATAAGGAGAAACGGAACCAAATTAGAGAAGAAGAATCAAGAGAGATGGAAATTAAGAAGAACAAGAAGTGAGAAGGGAGAAACCAATAATCTCAATATCATTAATCATTAAAAGCATGAATAAAAACAACAATCACTAATAATCCTATTTCAAAAAAGAGATAAATATAAATAAATTTTAAAAAAATAAAAATAAACATAATCTTAAATTAAATTTAAATATTAAAATAATCCCATTTAGCATGCTCATGGGCAACTCTATTACAACATCTGGGAATCCACTAACACTCAACAGACATAAAGGACAGCGATAAAACATGTTCAAACTCCGGAATGAGAGAGCACTCCCAACCCCTGGATGGCTTGTTTGCAATCTCCTTCCAATACGACCTCCAGAAAGAGGTGTTCCATTGCCAAGATGAGCCTCGAGAACAGAACATTGCTCTATTATATTAGTTCTCAATGTCAAGATCTTTCCTTGGTCATCCATTCCCCCACAATAGCCGCTAATGAAACTCCTCTAGCCTGGCCTTGTTTTTGGTCCACCAAACTTGCTCACAGACACTAACTGCAAAGAATCGAAATTCATTGTAGTCTTTCTGAGGAATTGAGGCGAACTGCGCAGGGTCCAGCATCCAAGAAACAAAAGCCTTTTTTATTTTTATATAAATTTATTTTTTGTTTTTATTTTTATTTTTTGTGATTGCAAAGTAATGGAATATTTTTTACAATATTGTCAATAATTCGAGTCATGATCGGAGACATTTGGTTCATGAATTTAGAATTATGATTCAGAACTATTCTCATTTTACGTGTATTTTTTGTGAGAAAAAATATTATAGCGAACCACGAACTATAGTTCGAATCATGATACGAATCTCCCTTCCAAACGCACTAGAAGAAACAATTTTGTTGGACAAGAAAACTGGTGCAATGGGTCATCTCTTTGAGCTAGTGTCTCCAATTGGCTATTAGATTTCCAAAGTATTACAACTCAAAAGCCTCTTTAGGCCCAAGATTTAGCCCTACAGAAAGGTTGATGGATTTCAGAAGCAAATCATAGATAATGGATTTTAGTGAGGCACATTTAATAAAAATAATTACATTTAAAGGGAAAAAAAATAAAGGGCAAAAGGAGGAACAATTTCTAACACACACAGGACATAAACGATATCCGAAGAGTTGCAGGAGAAAAGAAAAAGAAAAATAAAAAAACTGCACCAACATGATTGTACTTGACGACCACAAAACTTTTATCCAGACTTTGAATATTGTATTATGAATAATGTATGTTATAACTTTCTTTAAAAAAAAAACATAATTTAGTGAAAGTAAATTAGAGAGAAAATTTACTTATGAGTATATATAATAAAATAATATTTTAGAGGACAATAAAAAAAGACGTTTAAATAAGATATACGTATTTATATGTCTCATTAAAAAAATAATTATAATACTTTGAGTACTATAGGAAAAATTATTTAAGAAGGGCATATTTGAAAAAGTTATTTCAATCGGGAATATTAGAAGAATTAATAAAAAAGCATATTTAAAACATTAAGAATTGTTTAAAAAAAAAAAAAAACATAGTAGATGTACTAACAAGCATTGTTTAAATAAAAACGTGTGTTTCAATTGAATATTATATATATTAATAAAGAATATTTAGGAGAAACGGATTTTGATTGGGATAAATCAATTAAAAAAGTTAAGCGGGATAAGAATTTGACAAAAATATATCATTATAGACAAATTAACAAAAAGAAAAAGTATTTTAATAAATACATTTTGAAACGTCAAATTTTAAGAAGAAAAAGTTTTAAAAAAGTAAAAGAAAGTAAAAAAAGAAAGGACAAAATAACTTAAGAATATAAATGAATAGTCGGAAGAGGAACTCCCACTATTAAAAAAAAGAATTTTCACTGGGACAAATCAATTAAAAAATTAAGCTCAATGTATTTGAGAAATATTATTTCAATATGAGTAAATTAGTATCTAAAGAAATATAAAATTTCAAAAAGAAAAGGTTAAAAAATTTAAGAGAAACTACAAAAGAAAAAGGCATTAAAGCACAAAAGACATAACCCAGTGAATAGGGAAAAAGGGGACTTCCTGCTTTTATATATGTAATCAATAGGTAGATAAATAGATAATGAAAATAAAGATAGAAAAAGAAAAACAATGGGCAAATATGTTTTTAAATACTTTTGTTTTGATAGATTCAGTGAATGTTCAGGGTCAAACTTCTTTGTAGTTAGTGATCATTTGCGATTATTATTAAGATTTCATTTAGAATGCATACTCAAAGTATGATTTGTGTTCATTAGAGGGAACTTTGTGAGAAAAAAAATTTTAGAATTCAAACTAATTTTGAAATTCTAACTCTTTGTGAGATAAAAAAATACTATAGCGAAATCATGATTTGGGTTTGAGTACAGCTTCCGAACGACCCCTAAGTATGTAATTTGTTTATTAATAAAATTTTCCCTTAAAAAAATAATTTTGTTTTGAGTATGAAATTTATTTTTTTAATAAATTATTTTAAATCTAAGAAAATATTGAAACTGTGTTTAGATATATTTTTAAATATGTATAGTAAGTTAAACATATCTTAAAAAATGAAAGCAAAAATGTGAAAATAACTTTTAATCATTTTCCATTTTCTTAGCGAAATTATTATCATCATTTTTTGTATCACTTTCGTTTCCAAGGCATTTGCTAACCATACGCAACTTAGAGAACATTTTCATTTTCATACCTTACAAGACTTGTAGAAATATCTCTAAAAACAAGCAAAAACAAAAGGAAAAAGGAGAAAAATATCCCCTTAAATTGCACGGGTCTTGATTTTAACCATTTACTTTTGATTAATACTCTTTTTAATCAATACTGTATTAGTCAAAATGGTATGAATTAAAAGTAAAGAATAAAAATTTAAACTCATGCA